TCTTCCGAGGTTGTAAGCAAGCCTGGAGAAAGGCGTGCTTTGCTCTGGAGGAAGACACTAACTCTATTTACCTTCCAAGGCTGTTCAACTTGGCATCTTCTTTCATCCTGGGGAGCCCTTTTCTCTCTTCTTCATTGAATCCTTTTTTGTGTACCATGTTTCTCTTTCTTAGTTTACTCACCTACCTTTATAAAGCACATTTCCATAAATGGGAGGTAAAGGTTTTGAGACTGTACATGCCTGAAAACACCTTGATTCTACCCTCATACTTCAGTGATAGTTTCACTGCTCTTGAATCCTACTTTGGAAATAATTTTTCTTCAGAATTTTAAAGGCATTTTTCTATTACCCTGTAGGTTTCAATACTGAGAAGACAGAAGTCAAATTCCTGATCCTTTATGTCACCTGTTTTTCCTCTTTCTGCAAACTTGCAGGATCTTCTCTTTGACACAAGCTTTCTAAAATTGTTGATAATGTGCTTTGAAATGGGTCTATTTGGGACTCTTTCAATTTGGGAATTAATGTTTTGAATTTTGGAAAATTAATGACTTATTTCATTGATGATTTATTTCCATTTCTTGTTTTCTCTCTCTGGAACACCTTTTCAGATATTGGACTTCGTACATTAACCCTCCAATTTTTTTATCTTTTCTTATCTTTTCTATCTTTCATCTCTGTCCTTTTGCTCTACTTTCTTCTAGATTTTCTCCTTTAAACACTTAACTCTTCTGTAGAGTATCTTTTTCCTTTTGTATTAATAATTGAAGTATACAACTTTTGAGTATACAAGTCTTCAGTGAATTTTAACATCGGGCACACCCAAGTAACACCTACATCAAGATACAGAACATTTCCAGTGCCCCAGAAGAATCTTTCATGTCCTCTCACAGTTAGTACTTTTCCTGTAGAGCAGTTATTATTCTGACTTCTATAACCATCAATGAGTTTTGCTTAGTTTTTTTAATCAGTTTTATTGAGATGGAATTTTTGTGCAATGAAATTCACTAATTTTAAGTGTAAAATTTGATTTCTTTTGGAAAATGTATAGTTGCCTTTTACCACTTTAATCAACCTACAGAACATTTCCATCATCCCAGAAAATTCCTTCTTGCCACTATTCAGTCAATCCCCTCACCATGCATTCTTTGGTTTGCTTATTGCTAGCTGTAGTTTTGTCTTTTCCAGAATGTGACATAGAGTCACACAGTATATACTCTGGTGCTTAACTTCTTTCATTCAGAATAATGCTTCTGAGATTTAAGCACATTGTTGCATGTGTCGTCATTTGATGCTTTTTATTGCTTGTTATATGGGCATACTAAATTTTGTTTATTCATTCACCAGTTCTCCTTAGGCACTTCAGAGAACACAAAAGCACAGGATACATCCTTGACCTAGCCTCACAGTACTGCCACTGAGGTTACATCTAAAATTTCAAGATATAAAAAGTAAAATTCATTATGAGGTAGTCAAATAATACATAGGAGAAATAATACTACTATCTAAAGCACTTGACAATCCATTAGTTGCTATAAAGTATACTTAAAAACATAGGGACAAGACATTTAAAAATGAATAGGCATATATGAGAAAGAATAAGAAAGAACTTCTAGCATTAAAAAATATAGTCACTGAAATCAAAAATTCAATGCACTGAGGAATTGCAGATTAGACACATATGAAAGAATCAAGAAACCAGAAGACAGAGCTGTAGAAATTGCTTAGAATGCAGCATACAAAGACAGAATAAGTAAGCAAAGATAACATGTATAGAGCAGAAAGAGATGGTCTATCATATATCTATAGCAAATTCCAGGGGAAAAAAGGAGACAGGCAATATTCAAGCATACAATGGCTGAGAAATTTCCAAAACCTACAGAAGATAATAATTCTCTGTTTCAAAATAAGTCAGTCCATACCTAGAGACAATGTAATAAAACTGAAAAACACTAAAAACAATAGAGTGAAATGATATATTATCTACAAAGGAAATATATTGACAGTGAACTTTTTAAAAGGAACATTGGAAGCCTGGAGACAGTGAAATTATACAGGCATAAGTTGGAGGTATTGCAGATTCATTTTCAGACCACCAAAATGAAGTAAATATCACAATAAAGCTAGTCAAATCAATGTTTTGATTTCCTAATGCAAGTAAAAGTTTTTACAATGCCCTATAGTCTATTAAGTATGTCTATTTAGCATATGGGTCTATATAGCATTAAGCCTAAAAAAAACAAAGTACATACTTTAATTAAAAAATGCTTCATTGTTTAAAAATTCTAATCATTACCTGAGCTTTCAGTGAGTTCTTATCTTTTGGCTGGTGGAGTCTTGCCTGCATGTTGATGGCTGCTGACTGAAGGGGGTGGTGGTTGAAGAAGGCTGGGGTGACTGGCAATTTCTTAAAATGGGACAGTAATGAAGTCTGCCACATCAATGGACTCTTCCTTTCATGAACAATTTCTCTGTAGCATGTGATGCTGTAATAACATTTACCCACAGAACTTCTCTCAAAATTAGAGTCAGTCCTCTCAAATCTTGCTGCTGCTTTGTCAAGTTAATGTAATATTCTAAATTGTGAAATTTATTTATTATTCTAAATCCTTTGTGGTCATTTCAACAATCTTCACAGCATCTTCACCAAGAGTAGATTCCATCTCGAGAAATCACTTTCTTTGCTCACCAATCGATTCCATCTCAAGAAACCACTTTCTGTGCTCACCTCATCTGTTAACGTTTGATCATAAGATGTAGCAATTCAATCACATTCTCAGGTTCTTCTTTTAATTCTTGTTCTCTTACTATTTCTTCCACATCTGCAGTTACTTCCTCTACTAAACACTTGAACCCCTCAAAGTCACCCATGAGGGTTGGGATCAACTTCTTCCAAACTCCTGTAAATGTTGGTATTTTAACCTCTTCCAACAAATCACAAATGTTCTAATGGTATCTAGAATGATGAATCGTTTCAGGTTTTCAATTTACTTTGCACAGATCTATCAGCAGAATCACTATCTACTGCAGCTATCGTCTAACAAATGTACTTCTTAAACAAGACTTGAATGTTCAAATTAGTCCTTAATCCATGGCCTGCAGACCTGATGCTGTGTTAGGCATGGAAACAACATTAGTCTCACTGTACATTTCCATGAGTGCTCTTGGCTGACCAGGTACATTGTCAATGAACAGTAATGTCTTGAAAAGAATCTTTTGTTCTGAGCAACTCTCAACAGCAAATGCTACTGAAAAGAATGGCACCAACAGACTTGCTTGATGCAGGCTTGCCACAAACTCCAATATGTTTAAAAAAAAAAAACCCAGTGTCTGTGAAGCACAGTAAAGTAAAGCACCATGAAATACGGTATATCTGTATCTTCCAAGTGCTAATAATGGGGGCACAGGGAAAGGGAGGACTGCCAACCTAGAATTATATCCTCAACTATTCACATGTGAAAGCAATGTAAGAATTTCAGAGAGAAAAACCTGGGTATGAATCTAGGTGTCACAAATATTTAGTTGTGACCTCAGATAATTTCTCTAGGACTTAGGTCTACACCTATAAAATAGGGAAAATAACATTTCTCATCATAAGGTTATTGAAAAAAATTAAATGTATTAATATTTTAGCATCATTCCCAGCATATAATGAGCACTGAATCAATGTAAGCTATCATTTTTACTCCACACTCAACATTAATCCAGAGGTTTGGAACAGCTAATTTTTCTTCAAAAAAAAAAACAGGCAATCAACTGACCCAATTTACATTATAAATTTCTAGAAGCAACACCATGTCTTTAATTATTTTTCACCTAAATCCTGAAACTTAGAGGGTTTTTAAAAATCCATTTTAATATACATTAGAAGAGTTTCTAGGACTTTCAAAAAGTCATGTCACAGAAGTCATGGAACATTTTAGCAATGTTTAATACATGATAATATTTCTCTTATTTTTGAGTTTACCAGGTATTCGAAAATGAATATAGGCTCTTCTTGCCCTATTTATTGCTGAACTCATCCAGGAAGGTTGCCCTATACAGAATGACCCAAGTAGTATATTTAAGGAGAGTTCTATGCTCAAAACAAAAAAAAAAAACCTCAGTTTAGGTTCAGGCTCAGACCAAGAAGGAAATACTGCTTCATTTGGCTTTTTATGACTTGTCTCTGTCATGATTCAGCTCTAAACATAGCAAATAAAGCCCTGGGGCCACTCTCTCTCCAGCTACATCCCCAACCACACTCTTCTCTCCTTTAAATCTACCATCAACACACCATCAAATCTACCCACAACACACACACACACCTTTATCTCCCAACACACTTGGATTTTTATTTCATACCAAGACTAAGACATGTATTTGGGAAAATTAAAAACTAGCTTATATCCACAACCCAAAACTGCATAAGACGTCACCAATAATTTTTTGATGAAATCACAATATTTATTATTCTTTCATCTCCACAGTAAAGGTTTTTAAATAGGAAGGAAAACATTTTTTCAAACTATTATTTTAGGAGAGCGATATCTATCAAAATGAGTCATAATAACATATGGGGCTTGAGAAAAAATTTCTGATTAAGCTATTTTCATTCTCACACTTCCATTTCTCATATTGCTACTTTTCCTTCCTCGACTCCTAAATTCCTAAAAGTAGATATTTATTTCAGAAACACTGAAGCAGCTCTCACTATATCAGCATGAACAAAATAACACACTAGTTAAAACACTGGCAGCAAAACAACAAATAAAGTTTGATTTTCAGCATTTTGTACCACACTGAATTCCACCAATGTCCAGGCTCTATGTTTTTTAAAAATGTTTATCCAAATAACCAAAGTCCAGCTTACTTCATGCACTGACTGCTATAAATCCAAACAATTTAAAAAAATAAACACACTTCTCAAATTATTGCATCTTGAAATATGTTTTAATAGCAATAAATTAACCTCCTATGTAAATACTGGTCACCAATATAATTAAGTTTGAAAACTACAGTACCTTTCATCTCTTCCTGTTGGTTTGTACATTCAAGGGCTGCAGCTTGCCATGAATAATGCAGAATATGACTCGATCACAAACCCAGAGATAACAGGAGTATGTCTATAGCAATGAGGCTTTTTCATTTGTTTCCTTACCTGAGCTCTGGTAAAGAGAAAAAGAGAAAAATAATTGTCCATGCAGCATAAAAAGAATCTAGACAGATATCCTAAGAGCTTAAATGTTTCTCAGAAGTAACCATTACAATAGTTTCTGCCCGTGTACTAAATTCCACTGGCATCTTTAAAACACTGAAGCAGCAGACAGAAAATATTTATCATCTGCCACACTGTCTCAAGTTGGCAGCTTAAACTACGAATTGTATTTTGAAAGCCTTATTTTAAATAAATACCATTTTAGCATGAAAATAATAGTAACATTTACTGAATGCTTCCTACACACCTGGCAACATGAAAATGACTTTCTTGTCATTACCTCATTTAATCCTCACCACACTACTAAATAAAAATGGTTACTCCCATTTAATAGAAGAGCAGGCTGAGGCTTTAAAGAATTTAAACTTGCCCAGAGCTGGGTTTGCACCCGAGGGGTCTCACTCAGCGCCTGCATTATTGGTTCGTTCTACTACCACCTTTAATTCCTTCAAAATACATCAGCTCGTTCAAAGTTACAACTAATTCAACAATAAAATAAAAGGCTAAGTAGTAGTGATGAAATAAAGAATGCATTTTGTTCCGGTTGCCTATACAATTAAGTACTATTGTTCCTTAATTTCATAGGGCTTTGAATGATAAAACATAAAACCTTTCAAAACCCTGTTCTGTATTCTTTTATAAAGTAATCTTATTATCACATTCATTCATTCATACATTCATCATCCAATCTACACTATTTAGTAAGCACTTACCTTAGTTAGCAAATACCCATGTATATGTAAGAAACCATGTAAGGCCTACATATTCCTTGACTTCTAAGAATATATAATAATGCAGAGGAAATAAGAGGAGTATAGAAATACCTATATTCACACCAGAAGTATTTGTTAAATCCACTTTCATCCATATTCTCCCCCAAGTAGATAAATAAAACAGAACCTTCTAGTTCCCTCTCATTCATTTCTTCTTACCTCCTAATCACCAAGAAAAATGAAAAGAAGAGAAAATCAGGAAGGAAAGGATACTGAAGTATAAAGACATTTATGGTGATAGAGGAATAAAAGAGAAGGAGTCCAATACTGAAATACAACAAATGAAGTTATATTCTGTGTCCCTCAAATATGTGAAAGTTATGAAAGCTAGAAATAAAATACATTATATTCTTTGGAAACTATCTCCTTAAGAAACACAAGACTGCATATACCACAATTAAATATTGACAAGAGCATTGCCTAGACAGTAAATTCCTTTAAGAGAAGGGCCAGATCTTATTTGTGTGATGTCAGATTTGGTGCAATATCTGATGTAGAGGCACACAATGTTTTACGAACTGAAATACAAGGCACATGCGCTCGATAAAATGTCCATGTAATTCTCATTCTAAAGAGTTCCAGAATACCTTGGGAAGTAAATACGATTGGCAGTCAGTAACTAAGCACAGTACACACAACAATACAGGCATGATTATATGAACTATACAAGTGTTCACAAAAAGTATCTATATCAAAAGAATATCAGAAAAAAATAACAATTTCAAACTAAAGCTCACTTCTTAATAGGCTCCTTAATAGGAGCTTTTAATGGACAATTACTAATTTAGAATTAGATAGATAGAAAGGGACTTGAAAGTTACTTATTTCTTCTCCATACCTTCAAACAGGACCACAACCAAACCATCCCTAGCAAAAGAAACATATTTAAAGACATTTAGTGAAGATTCTATAATTCACCTTGGAACTGTACCACTTTTTTAACTATTCTCATAATCTATGCTTTAAATATCTAGCAAATGCCTGGATATGGCCAACTTACTAAGTATTCCAAGGCATACTTTCACTAGGTCTACCATATGTAAGGACAGGTATCAAGAAGAGAAAATAATGCTGAGTACATTAAAATAGGTACATACTTTCATTTCCAAACAGATGCTCAAATATTAGTAAAATCTTAATATAAAGCTATCCAGAGATGAGATATAGTTAGAAAATCAAAGAATTTCAGAATCACTGGGATCTCAAATCACGTGTGCAACTCTCTGCTTCTTTGACAACAAAACCAAGGTAAAGACGTTGTTACTATTATCAGTCGATTAAAGAACATTTTATGGTGTTTACAGAAGCCTCGTTTAAAGAATAATTGATGAATCCTTTTACAAATCAAATCAGCATTTTGGAATAGAACTACTATCTTAACTCCCTGCTTTTTAGGTCATGTAAAGTCACAGAACACGGCCTTTTACCAAACAGAACTGACCATCCTGCCACACTGTTGGTAAGGAAGTGCTGAAGAGAAACACCTTCAGTTACTGGGCACTTACGAGTTTACCTCCATAAACTGTCTAGACTTCCCCAAATCTTAAAAAATAGCTAGTATCAACATCTTTTTTTTGAGTAAGAGCACAGGTTTGGAAACATGACCATGATCATAAAGAACAGAAGTTGTAGTTCCAGAACTGGACGTAGATATATCTGACCTCTCCCACGACACCACACTCTAGTAAATGACCCTTGAAGAAACGTTCTCAATAAAAGAATCCCACCGTACACGTTGAGAAAATAAAGCATTAAAACAAAAGATCTGCAAGGGCCTTTACTTTCACTGTGTTATTTACACAAAGTAGATAATGATCAGTTAAATGATTAAATCTAAACTTGCTGAGAAAGTCCAAACCTAAATTCTTGGCCTAGATTCTCGCCTCCGCAATAACACACTAGGCTATTGGTTTCCTCAATATTTCAAGCTCTCCTTAGTAAATTAATCAAAATATAAGGGAAAACACCCACACCATATCATGTTTTGCTGTCATTGAAAATTACTGAACTCCAATCTCAGCTCAATGATACAACACTTCCTTGCCCTGGGCTCAAGTTCTCTTTCCAAGGTGGCTATCCCAAATCTCCACCATTCTCATCTCCCAGCCCCAATCTCTTCTCCCATCAGTTAACCTTTTTTTCCTATCCACCTCTCAGAGATCATAAGCTCTGAACTCTCACCTTTCACCGCCAAACCTATATACATCCACACTTCTTTTCTTCGCCAGGACAAACCTCCTCCTATCAACCCTAGCACATTGCCTAGGAACACAGCAAGCACTTAGTTGATAGGGAAAATGCAACCACCTAATTCTAGACTAACTCTTTCACCCTGTTCATCACATCCTTTCCTACATTTTCAGGGACCTTTATCAGTTCCCTCCTCTCTCACTTCTCACATCTTCAAACATTTCCTCTTTCTTGGCTCTTTCCCTAATAGCTCATTGTCAAGTTTTTAAAAAACAAAAATCAAAAAATCCTACAAACCTTTTTTAGTTACTGCCTCAATCTCTCTTTTTTTTTGTAGTCAAGCTCCTTTAAAAAGAAGAGTGCCTGGAAATTTTATGTTAAATTTTACATAAACTTTATATAGGTGTATATTGTTAATTTTAAGATAATTACAATTTTCAGCTTTTTACATTAAATCACAATATAAAATACTAGTTTTTTTAAAAAGAATCCTTAACTTTTAAAGATACATATTGAAATAATTAGAGATAAAAAGATACGATATCTGAGTTTAGCTTTAAAATAATCCAGCTGGGGGCAGGAGTAATAGATGAAACAAAATTGGTTACGTGTTCATTCTTCAAGGTAGGTGAAGGCTACACAGGGGTTCATTCCTCCCATTTTCTTTTGTATATGTATTATTGTGGAAAAATTTAACATTTTTCGGTTCCGATGTTCGGATTCCTCCTCTTCATTTTTACAAAGTTCAGAAATGATTTGTATCCGCCAAATCCAGCGGACACTAGTCAATCTTGATCTTACTTGCCCTCTTCAAGGACCAACCACTTCCTGCGTCTTTCTTTTCCTTTGTCATTGTTACGCATGCTCTCTGACTGTTCTCCTTCCTCCCGCCTTCAAACATGGTCCCCCCTAAACACACACACACACACACACACACACACACACACCCTTAAATGCTGCTGCTTCCCAAGAGTTTCACGTTCACACTTTTTCCTCTTCCATTTCTACACATTCCTCCTATGTGGGCTGTTCTATTCTCTCCTAAAACTTCAACTACTTATCTACAAGCAATCTTCTCCCTCCAGCCCTGAGCTCTCTCCTGAACTGCAGATCCAAAGGCATCCTTACCTGAATATTCCACAGGAACCATAAACAAAACTCAGAGCTGAACTGATACATCTTTATCTTTCTCCCCAACAAAACCCTGCTCCTCCCCATCTCAATCAATGGTTTCACTACCCTGCAGTCATCCTAGCCAGAAAACTAGGATTATTTGTCTTAGTGTTGCAAATCTTTCTAGCCCCCAACACCAAAACTCTAAGTTATATCAATTTTACCTTTTAAATATTTCTAAAATCAATTTCTATATTCCTAACTGCTTAGTTCAGACTCTATTTCTCTACTGAATTTTTTTTTCTAAGACCAGTTTGTGTACCACTATTCTAATTTGTTCTCTCCTAGGTCCATTTTTCATAAGGGAGCTGGAGTTACTTTCTAAAATACCAACCCAGTAAGTCTACTTGAAATTTTTCAATAGTCACCCCATTTTGGAGAAAATTTCTCAATTCTTAATCATGGTACTAAGTACTTTAAGATCTGGCTTCTCTCACTACACTGCAAGTATTCTGGGATTCAGTCATCAGAATAACCTAAGGTTCCCCAAAGACAAACACTCAACTCTATCCTTTGCTTTCTGTTGTGCCATTTGCCTAGAATGACTTTCTTCATTCTCTCTCCAGTGAGCATTTACTCAACTTTCTCACTGCAAGTCAAATGGCACATCCAACTGGAGATTTTTCTTGATTTCATTAGAATCCAGATCTTTCTACCAGTGGGTACACCGAATGGCCTTAATGGTTGAGATAAATTTGACCCACCTGGGTTGAAATCCTAGGTTCACACCTTATCAGCATGACTTTGAGCAAGGTCTCTAAGCCTGTTTCCTCATCTCTAAATAACAGCAACTATTTCTCATGATTGTTTGAGGATTAAATAAGGGGCTGCATGCAAAATATGCTACACAATGCCTGACAGAGAGTTAAGTATTCAATAATCAGCACTGTCCTATTATCTATTCCCACTTTGGGCCCGTGTAGCAGCTGACACCTATTTCTACCACCGTGTTGGGATGATTTAAGTGTCTGCCATGCAGGACACAGACTACCTCCTATTTTCTCTTCATTCCCACCACCTGGCATAAAAATACCTAACATATAACGGATTCCTAACAAACCTTGAATGAATAAATACTTCAAATCCTTACATAACTTAATGGCTTAATTTTTTTAACAGTCTTACTGAACTTACTCTCAATCTCCTTGTACAAAATTGGTACTTAAAAGTAAAAATTAGCTTCATTATAATTAAGAAAAAAGAACTTAATAGGGACCCTATGTTTTTTTTGTTTAAACACATACACACACAAAATAAGGCCACAATACTATCAATACTTTTCCAACACACTACGTAAAAAATGATATCTCTAGGACAATCGTCTACGTATTGAAAAATTTTTCAAGGATAGTTAAGGCAGGTTTTCCAAATTTGTGTCAGCTTCCTTACCACCAGGGTCAGAGCCAACTCTAGGGACTAAAGTGTATTCCAGAACATTAAAAATAAAACTAGAACATGGCATTTTTCATACTGAAAACATGCTCCTGAGAAATTGTGAAAAAAAAAAAGTGGAATAATCAAAGAAAATAATTATTACTACCAACTGCTAAAAAAAAAAGTGCTTCAAAATTATTATAATTTAAAGTTGAGCTAATCTTCAAAATCGAATCAAACTGTGTAGGCTGTGTTCCAGCTAGTGGGGTGAGGGGAGTACCCATTTTGCAATCTTTACCCCCAATAAATAAGACGCAAAAATGCAAAACGGTGGGAAATAAAGATACTACTATATAATAGCACTGTATCTTTTATCTACTTTTACACGTAACCTTTAAACATCAATGCCCTTTGAGTAATTATTAATGTGTTTAATATGCTGACACTTCTGAGCTACTCCAGCATAAACATGATTAAATGTCTAGAAATAAACTATCAGGGGAAGAAGAAAAGCCTGCTAACAATACTTTCTCGGGTCTCACATCAAATGTGTGACATACATACGGTTCTGCACCGAGAGGCAGCAACCTGGGAGGGTCAGAGGCGCCGAAGGCCCGAGGCCCTGCCGCTTGGGCGGCCGCTCATCTCTGAGACTACGCGGGGCGGCGGCCCAGCGGGGTGGGGCTGAGCGCTGTAGCCGGGGCGGGCCCGATGGCGGGGCGGGAGGCCCCAGTCTCACCTCCACTTCCCTTTCCCGGCGCACAGAGCCCAGTTCCGCCACCACTCAAGAGGGCCCTCACCACAAAGAGGGATTTTTCTCCGGGTCCGCTCAAAGTTTATCGGTCTTTCCCAGCTGTCGGGGCCGCCGGGCTTTGTAGTTCGCCCGTCCAGACCTCCGCGCCAAGGCCGCGACTCGGAGGAGTCGCTGCACTACAATCCCCATGATGCTCCGCGCGCTGCGCGCTCCCAATGCTCTCCCCTACCCCGCACGGCGGCCCGCGCCCGAGGACCCGCGCCGCGCGAGGTCGTGGCGTCTCCCGCGGCGGCTGTCAACGTGGCCACCCCACCACTCGCTCTCCTGCGGACGCCCTCGGATTCATTACCTAGGCGCCGCAGGTCGGCCGATGTTGATGATGTGGTCCAGGGGGGGTGGGGGTGGGGCACAGGCTGCCACTGCCGCCGCCGCGGAGCCCGTTAGTTCGCGACGTGCGTGGAAAGGCGGCGGAGGCGGCGTACGGTTGCCATGACAGCAGCGGCCGCGCGGTGAGGGGGGCCCGAGGGCTCCGAGTCAACTCAGGGGAGGAGCCTGGGAATCCCGGGTGCGGGGACAGGGAGGCGCGAGGGTGATACTGAGAAGGACGGGTGACTGATTGAATTAAGGTTCTGCCTGATGAGCCCCGCTGCGGCGGCGTCCCGTCGCCCTGGGCAGCGTGTTGATGCCTTCTCCGTTCTGCGAGGACTTCTCTGGCGCCAGAGGAACGAGCATCTGAGCGTCGGGGCGCCGGACCCTCCCCGTCGGCCCTGCCCGTGGATAAAGTGAAGGTTCCTGTGGCCCGGATTCCCACCTGGCCCTGCTTGGCTAGCTCACTACACACGTGTGGGCAATGCGTAGTTATTGACTATATAGAGAGCCCTGCCCAGTACTCTGGGCGACACGGTGGCAGGGCTGCAGGGGAGCAGAGGACAGAGGCCCAGAGGACGGCTGTGCGGGCAGAGGGACCCAGAGGCAGAGACCAGCTTGCTGTGTGCAGACTCGCACCGAGTGGATGGGATTTTAGTGATTGACCTGCCACCGTGGGAATAAAGTTGGGTATAACCCTTTCACCCCAAGAACGTTCTGCTGTCATTTCTTTGGTCACACTGAATCCATGGCGAACTTGCCCAGAGCTGAAACCCACTGGCAAGACACTGACTGCCATGGGGCACTTTTGGAACTTAAGCCATCTCTTGTTGGACTTTTAACCAGTAAAGTCGAATTTGCAGCCTTTCACCCCTCCCTTATGCCGTTTTCTGCCGAGTTGGGGTAGAAACGAATCATTTAGTATAGGACGTAATGCATACGGCCCTTAGGATTACTCAGGAAGTTTGAGAAGTTTTAAGTGGCATTGATTTCAGTTAAGTTTTGATTCATAATTTCTCTTAGGTGATCATGGACTCTCCATGACCCGTCTCCAGATGCAGTTTAGCATAAATGGAGGTGAAGGGCGCGGGATCCTAAAACCCACTGCTTCGTTCACGTCCTGCCGCTACAGTTGGTAGAGCTGGTAACCAAGGGCAGTTTTTCCTCTATCATGCTCAATGTCTTACCTGCAAAATGGACATTATCTCACAGTACTTGCGAGAAATAATAGCACTGCTGTTGTGACGTATTATAAAACAAAGCTTGGCATTGAACAGTAACTTTTTTAAATTAGCATTTAATCCACTGGGATAGGAGTTAGAATGGTGGCCTGGAGGCAAGAGTGGGGCTTGACAGAGGAGGGACTTTTCTGTACTGGTAGAAAAGCTCTGTGTCTTGCTTAGAGTTTGGGTTAAAGAGGCATGCGCATTTGTCAGAATTCACGGAGTGGTACATTTAAGGTTTGTACCTTTCTCTGTTGTAAGTATCTCAAAAAGGAACACAAAAATGTGTTTTTAAGGTCAACTCTCTCTGCAACTCTCAAATGTACAGTACAGTATTATTAACTAGTCACCATGCTGTATAACAGGAGATGTGTACCTTTTGACCGCCTCACCCATCATACTCCCCATCCCACCCCCTGGCAACCACAAATCTGTTCTCTGAAAGATTATTAGAGCTGTAGACTCCAAGACCATAGAGATATACTAGGTTCATTCTCCAGCTTTCACATATGACGAAAATGAGGCCTAGAGATACTGGTAAATGGGAGGCTGCAGAGAGAGTTGCTGACCCTGTCGTTTTTCCAGTAATAAACATCTCTTGAGAAATTATGATTGAAATAGCAAGCTACTGTGAATGTCATGCAGTTCTCAGTCTGAGTCACCTTGTGCACAGAGATTTTGAAACTGACTCAAGTCCGTCTTCCACCTCCTGGGAAAAGACCAGCGTTCTCTCCAAGACTGTACATTCCTGGGGCTTAGAATCTCAGGATCACTTCAGGTTCTGAGTCTTTGCTTTTTCTGAGCCCTAGACTCCCTCCCATCTCACCTGCAGCTCTTTTCCCTCTTGCTGACACACACTTTGGAAATCAAACCCTTTTTCTGGTTGTTTGTATAGCAGACTCTCCTAAAGGTTTGGAGTAACCTGAGGGGTTTTAAATAAAGGACACAAATAACCTAAAATTAGAATTCCCTGCTCCTAGAAGTCCATCACTATCCCAGTGGCGTTGGTATCCGCCAAGACTCATCTTTTTTTTTTAGCATCAACTGCAACTTCCCACTATCCACACTCTCTCTGACCCCATCTCTCTCTTTTCTCTCTTTATGCAATACTTCTAAAAGTACTATAAATACTTAATAAAAAGTATTTTTTAGCTAATAAAAAAGTACTTCCTTACCTCTGTCTTCGAATATACCTATACCCCCTGCACTGTTTATCAAAGTGTCTTCCTACACAAAAAAGCACCTTCCTCAAGAGGAGCTCTAGTGCCAGCTACTAAAATAAGGTGCCACTCCAGTATATATCTGCATATTCTATTTGATTCAGCCCACATTCTGGTTACTCGATAAATCCCGGGCAGCTTATGTACAGCACCCGTCCAGGCCATCTACATAGTGGACTCCATTATGAAAACTTTGTTATAAGTGAAGAAGCAATTGATAGTAGCTGGAATCTGATGTCTAATAGAAAGAAAAGAAACCGAAGTCTACAGTAATCATAGCTCCTATTGTACAGAAGAAATGACAGCATTCAAACAATAAAATCCAGGACAAAATCTGAGTGTTCATCCAAAGTGGCATCCTTATAGGAGCAACACCTGGACCTGTCACCTCGAGCAATTCGGTCACAACTCTGCATATATAACGAGCATATAAATAGATCTCCCTTTCCTCCTCGAGAAGATGATACTGATGAGCTATCCGCTGAACACTTGTTTTTTGTAACAGAGATGATAGGTTCACCTGATCCATCTATCCTTCATCTGATTTCCTTTGTGACCAGTTGCTTGCATTTGCAAGGCAGCTGGCCAGGGTTGAAGTTCAGTCTCCACCCTTGACGATGTCTCTGAATACAAGGTTCCAATGCATAACCCTTCTTCCTTGAAGTCAGGATTCCAGAGAATCAGCAGGACAAGCCGCTTGAGAATGGATGACAGCAGTGATAGGCAACAGCTGCATTGCAGTGAACTGAAGGAGGACTGTAACACAAAAACCAAGAGCCACTGAAGCACAGCCTTAAAAAACCCTAGATGGCTATGAACAGCTGGGAAATAATGAGGGCCAACAATCAGCTTTGGTTTGTTGCGTTCACTGCATACTTTGGACCAGTTCCAGAGGGAGGGCGACACACTGTGCAAATCCAAAAAATGGAGCTGAAAGCAGTAACAGATTAATCCACACAGATAGACAATACGGCCAAGAGCCACTGCCCTTGTTAAAGAGATAGTGCATCTAGTTCAAAGCCAAAGGCTTTCCCTCAGCTCTGAGTCTTCTTGGACTCTGTAGTGTTTGACTTTACTGGCCACATTCCTTAGTGGGCCCTGCCATGGGCTCTCCTCAAAGTGTACTCCACTGTGTTGTTCACCGGCTCTTCCACCTGCTCCTTAAATGTGGGAATAGTTCCCAGCATTCGAAGGATACACCCTCTCCATTTTCGAGGTTTCAGCTCTGGTCGATGCCCAGATTTCCCCTCCTCATTCTGGCCCCCAGGGTCCAGTGGCTGCCCTGAACATGCCCTGTGCTTTCTTACCTCGTTCTATTGCTCCGGATGTTCTCTGCACCTAGAATGCTATCCCTCTACCCTGAATTCTACCTATTCTGCAAAACTAACTCAAGCCCTTACATAACACCTTTCCAGATCATTCCCACTCCCCACCATATCAACCTGCTCTGTCATATTTCCTGCCTGTATCACCTACTTGGCAACTAACCACACTGCCCAGGGGCACTTCAGGTATTTCACTCACTGGCTTTTGTCCTTTCTCACTGGCGAGTTTGTCTCTCTGATGCTGCTTGATTTCAGACTCCTCTGATGCACATTTTCAGGGATTCCCAAAAACATATTTATAACGCCTTTTATATATAATAAGGCCACAATAGATAGATATTTTTGATTGATGGCTCCTTAACTTTTGTCCTTCGTAAAACTGTTCCTCTGGTAGTTCTCCCCCGTCTAGTACTGTCAGGACATTCACAGCCTCTTAATACGTAAGATCCCTGAGGCCTATGGAAAACACGGGTCCCCATATGTATTAGTGGCTGAGAACCTTGGGAGGAACTTTAAGTTGCTTTTTGTGTGCAAGGAGTTCAAGAGGTAAATGGCACTGAATTCCCACTCTCAAAGGCACCAATACCCTTGGAGATGTCCTAGAGCAGGTCATGAAATCAATTTGATGGGTCCTGTCTGGCTTTTTAAAAATTAAAATGTGATGGGGTAAGGTAATACATAATAGAAGCAATAGAAAACTGAATGCAGAGCATATGCTCATAGTTCCAGTAAATTATTGTATGGCAGTTGATCTTTCAGCCTCAAACCTACCCTCTGTCTACTGCTTTGTGTTGGTGAAGCCGGAACCCTGCAAGCCTGGTTTCTCCTTTGTCATCTGGCTCCCAGGTGCACGGGAGGAAGAGCCCAGGCTAGAATGCAGAAAGCCACTTGCTCACATGGCTGCTTCCTGTTAGCTCACCGTGCAGCAGCAATGGCCTTCTAGCCTAGTAAGCAGTATTCCTACCCCCAGCTTTTTATTGTTCTTGAACCAGCCTCGTGGTGCCTGCCCTCCATGCACCCTAGACTTACAAGCCTGAGCCGGCCAGCACCCCTCTTGGGAAGTCTAGGTCTTTGGAGCCTCTCCTCTAAGCTGCTGAGTTCTGATAACCTCATCTTCTTCTGTCTTTGATCATTAGCCCCAGAGGTGGTAGCTGCTGCTGGCAGTTATAACTTTTGTGTCATGCCAATATTCCTTTTTAATTTTCCCAGTCCCCTAACAACTGTTTAATCAATTCCCTATGCTAAATTCTCCCTGTTGAAATACTTGGTCTGGTTTCTTTTTTCCTGACTGATAGACCCTAACAAATAGGGATTGTGAAGTAAGACATATTTCCTACTGTGAACTTCACTCAAAAGGGTTTATGAGAATGTGGTGAGTTCTTAAATCAACAGACACCCTAAGTGCCAAGGGGCCAGGCTTCATGCCTAGATATACTCTGCCTTTCAGGTCTGGGAAGAGCAAAGACCCAGTTCCGGGACAGCAGCTGTCACGGGGACCCTGGGCTTAGCCTGGCCTGTGAGGGTCACTGCTGACGAACCTAGAATTGTCTACCGGAGTTTAGCTCGAACTCCGAGCTCCACCTGGAATCCGACTTTTCTCAGACAGAAAGAAACTCAGCCTTTTAACTTGCTACCTTTCTATCCCTTATTTGCAAGTGGGGGGAAGCAAAAAAAATGATTGATGAGAAGAGCCCAGGAAGTGGTGCCAGACACCTCGTAAAGCAAAGTGGAACTTGGTGAGTGGAAGGATTAAAGAGATTTTCAGG